TTTAGTTGACTGGCTATTTTTTTTCTATTTTCAGTAGAGACGGGTCTCACTCTTGCTCAGGCTGGTCTCAAACTCCTGACCTCAGGTGATCCTCTGGCATCCCAGAGTGCTAGGATTACAGGCATGAGCCACCCCGCACGGCCACCCATTCACTTTTTAAGGCTAGCCCTTCCTGGAACTTCCCCTGAAGGAACTCAAGATTTTCCTTTATTTCCATGCTTAGTCCCCCTCCCTGCAGGTCCCTACAAGAAGTCCCTGCTCTATCTCTTTTGGGCTCTTCAAAATAGCCCAAAGCTGACTGGAAAGAATCCAAGTGTCTATCAAGAATAGACAAGTGAATTGTGGTGTATTCATACAGTGGAATACTATATAGCAGTGCTTTCTTAACTTATCCGTAGTGAAGGACCACAGATAGGTTTTTTTTTTCCCCCCTAGCTGTCAGAATGAAACTCTTATTTAATACAAAATTAACACAATGTCAGACTGTTCAAAAAAGTTGCTAAATGTTCATACACACCTTCTGCACTCAGGGTATTACAGATCAGTGATGAGCCAGCAGTGGCACACAAACTACATTTCAAATAAAGAGCACTGCTCTCAAGCAGTGGGAAAGAACTACAGCAGGGAAAGAACAAACTACAGCAGATTACACACCATAATGTGGATGAATCTCACAGCCAGACACAAGAAGGTCTATATTTTATGATTCCATTCATATAAAGTCTGATAACAAAAATCACTAACCAGTGACATTAGAAGTTAGGATTACCTTTCAGGAGCAGAAGATTGTCACTTGAGGGCATGAGGGAATTCTAGAGTTCTTTATTTTAGTATTTCATGATTTTCATACTGGTTATATGAGTGTGCTCATTTTATGAAAATTTATTTAGCTGTACACTTATGATTTCTGTATTTTTCTGTTTATATATGATACACTTAACATGTACATTAAAATTTATCCTCATGAAGGTAATAGATTAGTGGAGGAAACAAAAGTATATACAAATAAATAAGCAAATCTGAAATTACAAATTATGATTTCATGAGAAAAATCTTAAGATCCTGAAGGAAGGAATTTAGTTGATAAAAGGTAGTCAAAGAAAGGTCTTGCCTGAGAAGATATTTTAGCTGAGACCTGAAGTAAGAAAAGGAATCAGTGATGCAGAGAGCAGGGGCAAACGAGGTAGGGGTTTTAGTAGTTGTTTTGAGTAGAGAGAGAAATGGGGAGAATGTAGTGGATTTAGATAAAAGAGGGCATTGCAGACATAAGGTACAATTTGGGAATTGATGTTTTGAAAACTAGAAAAGGAAGAACTGGGATGGAAAGTAGGATTGGTTTGCAATTGCAAATAAT